TAGGCATATACTTTATAGGTTTTTGCATTTTCTTGGTTGAATTTTGTATCAGTGGATTTCAGTAAGTTGACTTGTGCTGTGTTGTTATATTTTGGTGCTGATAATCAATGCATATTTATTGGTGTTGATCAGATTGCTCAATTTATATAAATTTCTTTCCCATCACATAGTCCATGGTGTCTCAGATTCACTTTACACTGGCGAACGTTTATCCTGCATTTGCAAAAAATGTTTTCTGCCCTTTTCATGCCCTGACTATTTGCTTCTGGCCCTCTGCCATCTACTTGCTGCTGCTTATTCAGACATTTGCATAGTGATCCAGAGTGATGGACGCTGAAGCTAACCTCCCAGAACAAAAAGCTGCTCTTTAACTTGGACCAGTGCTTTGCTCTGCTCCACTGCTTGTGTCGGCGCAACAATTAAAGCTGTCGGGGCACAGTAGAGGGACCAGGAGTGCAAGGATGGGAGTGAGGCAGTGCTACTTAATGCCAGCTTTAAAGCAACAGTGCTAAGTGGAATTGGAGTCAATCATCTTGGAAACTGTCCGTTGGAATTGGTCCACCAATCAGATTGTCTTCTCCACAGTATTTTCTGTACAACTGGAGAGATGCTGATTGTACCCCTGTCTCCAGATGAAATGGGTTTTGGTTTTAATATTAATATAATTAGAAAAAGCAATGCTAGATCTTCTCCTGCATTTTAATTTAGTAGATTGGAGAGCTGCTTATTGAGCTGAGATGTATAATAATCCTGAATAAAGCCTGAGAATCTGTCTGTTAGGAGCTGGAAGGCTTCATATTGATGGAATTTTTTTTTTTTCTCTGAATGGTTTTTTCTTCAAAGTTAATTATTAAATACCTCTTTGTTGCAGTTGCTATTACTCTAAAAGCAAATTTTTCTCACAGCTTGGTTAATGGCATTACTCAGCCCATAACAATGCCGACTCTGTCTCTGGGATATTCCCACAGGTACATTTTTAACTCGTCTGACAATAGCAGCCTAGAGGTCTTCTCCCTGCAGGCAACAGGGCTGCTATTGTGCAAATGAATGTTTATATAAAAATAGATTGTTCTTATCGAGACTGAGAGCCAGTGACCCTTGAATTTGAAACTTTGCTCAGAGATCTGCCTTGGTGGCCTTGGGCAAGGCATTTGATGTGTGTGCCTCAGCCACTTTGGAGAGAAAGGAAAACTAGTAACTATTTGATTCATCCAAAATGGGCAGTTGTGGGAGACCTCAGTCTTTGTTCTCATGACTGCAAAATGAAAATGTTACAGGCCAGGGAAGGAAGTTTTTAATCCTTCAATGTCCTTTATTGTGTTTTCCATATGAAAATGTGGCTTCAGTTTTAGGGATGTGTTTCCTTCTGTCCCACCATATGTTAGTCTTTCCCTCTGCAGAAACACAGGGGAGCACAGGCTGCAGCTGCCCTGTCCTTCTGCTCTCTGCAGGGCCAGGGGGATGGATGTGGTAGAGACCCAGGTCCTGCTGAGCTGGGTGTGCAGAGCAGCAGCAGCAGGAAGCCACTGCTTGAGAGAGCAGTTTTTGCAGGGCTGATGGCTGGGGGATATGTCCCAGGGGAACAGGGACATTGTGCCCCCTGATCTGTCAGCCTGGGGTGCTCCTCAGATGCAGGACAGTGGGGTTTGGTCCATTCAAACTGGAGAAATGCCTGCAATTTATCTTATTTCTTGGTGCTGATACAGTAGGGAGGGGACTGTATGTGAGATGTTTTTCCATGTGAGTTTTTGTGTCTGTCTGTATAGATCTGCTCCAGTTTACCACTATGAAACTAGATGGGAGGGTTTGCTACTTTTCAGGACAAATAAATTGCATGTAACCTTCATTAAGTGGATGATTTTAAATTCTAATTTTGTAGCGGGTATTTGCACTGAAGGTCTTGCAATACTTTTGTGTTTATTTAAGATAACATGCTAAATATTTGTCCATATCAGGTATGTTTTAATATCTGTAGTAAATATTTATTTTATGATATTTAGCATAGTTAAGCATAAAATGTAAGATACGCATTTGTACATTCTGTCCATGGAATACCTACCAACCATAAGGCTCCAAAAAATGCTGTTCTTGCTTTTCCCTGCTGTATCAATTTGCACTCACTGGAGCACTGCATTCAGATACACGGAGAGCTCTGGGAGCTGAAATTCTTGCCTTTTGATAACCTGTATGCTATTTGTATAGTCTTTTATATATCCTTAGGCTCTCCTCCCACGAGAAAAGTGCTGAAAGCAGCCACTTATGTATCATATCACTGGAAAATAACATCACCTTAATTACAGTAGCCAAAACAATTATATCAGTGAAAACTAATTTATATTTTAGCTACGTGACCTCCTGTTGAACCAATAAGTTTTGTTCTTCCAACATTGGAGAATTAGGAGCCTGTGATGCCATGTTATCTTCTACTGTACAAGGGTAGGCAAGCCAAGCAATGTGCTTGGTTGATGGTTTTAACTGGGGAAAAGTCTTAGGAATCTCACTGGGAAAAAATTGAAACAGCTCTGATAATAACTTCCCTGAGGGTGCTGTAATAGTAAGCACCTCTTGTTAATGAATGGCTGCATCTCCTGTTTCCACTCAAATGAAGAACCAAGAAACCAAATTGCCCTAAAGTGTCTGTAGGTTTATAGAGGCATATTTGGTCTCGGTGCCGTGGCAGGATCTGTCCCTCCCGATGGTTTTGCATCTCCAGTCATCAGATTATCTTGTTTAAAAAAAGCTTTAAAATGATCTGTTTCTGGAAAGAGCTGTTGGGGCATAGCTTCTGCTCTCTTTACTCTTGTAAATGCAGTCTTTCATTATCCTTTGTGTGGTTACTTGTCCTTTCTTTCCTGTCTTATACCAGAAAGTTTGGTGATTTAAGTTTTGTTAAGTACATAGTACTTCAGAGCTGGTCCTTTAGGTGGTAGTTTCCCTTTGTTATTCCACAGTGAGATATTTCTGGGTAATTCTTGTATGAAAATACACTCATCAAAACCTTGGGAAGTTTTTTCCCAATTCAGCTCTTTATTTCTATGTTGTATAATTGCAGTTTACTGCACTATATCAAAGCAGTTGAAGCCATTGCTCTGGAATATATTCTCAGATGGCTTTAGGGCAAGACAAACCATGTGGTGATCATGTCTTTTTCCTCACACTTGCTGGCCTATACCTCTCATATAGGTATATATGTTCATAAATACTGTGTATCAACCTACTACTGTAGTCTGATTTCATATGATTCAGCATTTGTAGATAAATAAAGCAGCCATTGAAATGTTTATGCTTTCTATTGACTTAGGGTGGTTTGGAGAGCAGCATTAATCTACAGCTCAGTGAAGCAGTAAGAAGATAAAATACTCCCTCAAGAGTTTTTGTTTGTAAATAGAGACTTGCATTAAGCTGCTATGAACTGGCAAGCTTTCATATTATTTTTGAATGCACTGTTTTTGTCTTCATTAGTAGTTATAGCTGAGGGTAATAATACTGGAATTGTCTTGCACCAGAAATAACAATACTACTTGATGATGTGGATGTATGATGTGCTGTGGAAATTTTTGACTTTGACCTTAAACTCTTGCCTTGCCACTTCCCATGCTCTGGTTCAAGCTCTGCTGCCGGCACGTTGGCACCTTAAAACAATTGGAGGGGTCACCTTTTCTGCATCTTTTGTAATTATTTCAGTATGAATGGCCAGTCACTGAGGAGGAATGAGTAATCTCATTGTGATTCTCAGTTGACTCAAACTGAATTATGAGACACAATAATGCAGAGAGCTCTGCTGTTGTTTGAGTGTATATTTACTTTCAGGATCTGACTATAGACCATTGTACAAAGCATACATTGAGAGATCTTGGTACAGTCATGTGGCATGTGAGAGACCTTGGCAAAGTCAGTTTGCACTTGTGTGTTTTATTTCTGCTTTAATGTCATTTTAATGTGGGCCAACAAATGGATTGGTTGGTATTTTTTTTTCTTTGAGCAATGGATTTTTCTTTATTAAAAAGCAGAAAAGTTGTCTTGGAAGGTTGCTCACAGAAGACATGGAGAATAATGTTTACATTTTTCTGGTCTCTGAAAACTGAAGAAGTATATGTTTGCTAAACACTGCATAGTTTATGGTGGCCTTTCCCTTTTTTTTTTTTTTTTTTTTTTTTTTTTTTTAGTATAAATTTTCCTCCATTCTTCCACAAAGTAATAATTGCACATTTCCCCATGAAGCTTTATATTTCTAGGGGGCAAAAGCTGTCATTTGCTTCTGCAGTTGGAAAATCTCTGGAGGGAAAATGTTCTTACTGTGAGGCCTGAGCAACTGATATCTGAATGCAGAAGTCCATTCTTTAGAATTAAGTATTACTTTCATGTTATCCTAATCTATAGCACAGATGAAAATATGTTTCTAAGCTCTGTATTTATGTACACATAATAGAAAGATTTTGGTAGTGTAGAGCCAGAAAACAAAGGAATGTCTTTATCTGTCTAGTTCCCTGTAGTATTCCATTTTTTAATTGATTTTGCTATTTGAAAATACTGTCTAAAGGCTTATCCCTACCGTTTCTCAGAATTAATTTTCAATAATGATATAAGTTTAGCAGGTATGTTAATGTCCTGAACTGTCCTTTTTACACTGGGAGAAATACACTTGAATACTGGAAGTACAATTTATAACACTGCTGTTTAGCAGAAAACCTGATGAGAATACTTGGTTTCTCTGGATCTTTTGGAGGACCAAGTGTGCCTGGAAGAAAGGTCATCTTTTCTTTCAATTCCTCTTTTTCCTACTCTTGGTCTTCCTCTTTTGTAGTAAATTGGTGGCCAGATTTATTTCCACTACATGCTGTCTACCTCTGTAAATTACAAGAGAAAATAAAATAAGGTAAAAGCTATGACTTCACTGTTAAATTTGTGTTAGTTTCAGGAAAATAAAGAACACTATTTGCTGATTGATTTTTTAAGACTAGCTGTTTATATATTTTTATCTTTCTGCTTTGTATTGGCAGGGTAAAAAGCTTGAACATGCCTCGTAGCCCAACATCAAGCGAAGATGAAATGGCACAGAGCTATTCCGACTATTCTGTTGAGTCTGAATCTGACAGTTCCAAAGAGGAAACTATTTATGACACAATTAGAGCAACTGCAGAAAAGCCAAGCAGCAGAATGGATGACAGTCAGAGCAACACTCTGGTGATTCGAATTATAATACCTGATCTCCAGCAAACGGTAAGGGATATTACATTATCAATTAAAAGAAGTTTAGAAAGATTAACTTTGCTGTTTTCAGTCCGCAGTAAGTCTGTTTTGTTTTTTTTACAACTAAGTCAAAATGTATGTCTTGTTTGCTTTTGCATCCAATTTTTTTACCCCAGTAGTGTGTCCAACTGATCGCCTAAACTAAATCCCAAGCAAGAGAATTTATTTAGCATATTAACTTGATGTAAGCTGTGAAGTGAAATACTTGTCTGATCTGCATTCAGAGACATTTGACTGAGTAGAATAAAGAGAATTTCGAATCTAAAAACTTATCAGAACGTATCATATACTCTCTAGGAGAGCTGCATACATAAGTAACTCCACCATCTTCTTGTTTCTCTCCTTATGAGATAGTTTTTGATTGGCTTCACAGGAATTCACCATTCTCTCTCTTTTTAGTCACCTTTGTATACCCTCTTGCTATGAAACGATATCTTTGTTAGATAGCTATGATGTTTAGAATGTAAAAATGAGGAAAGAAACATAAAAATAGATCTTTTCTTCCTGTTATGCTGCTATGCTTTCACTACACAGTTCTATTTCTCAGTCTTCCCCCCAGAGAAATCAGCACCCTTGGTCTGGAAGAAGAAGAAAGTGTGGCGTTGTACCATTCCACAGGTTTTACAGTGATGTGAAATCATTATGTTATTTTTTCCCATCTCCTCACCAGTTATAATAGAAATGTATCAAAAATTATAGGATTAGCCTTTTCTGATTTTCTGAAATGAATCTTTTGAGATGCAAATATTCTAACCTACAGCTATGTCTCACAATCCAAAGTCAAATGGATGAAAATAGAAAGGCTTATTCTACCACGTCTTACAGGTAGAGACATTAAACAGAATTTAAGTTTGTTTAAAAATGTACAAAAGATTTGATAATAAAAATGTTTTTTGTTTTTTAATTAAAAAATACATCTAGGATGTTCCTTACATATCAGAAGTCTACAATCCGGAATCCACTTTCTAGTGAGGAACTATAAATTTGTTTCTTTCGTGGCAGAATGTATAAAATGCAGGATATGAAAAGTTAGAAAAAAGAAGCTTGAAAATCTTGCTGTTGTAATTTGTAATGGTCCTCCTAAGTGCTGCAATAGGAATAGCAATTGCATCCTGGAGAAGGTCACTGGGAATTACTTGCTGATTCTATCTAGAACCACAGCTTGTCTATGTTTTGATTAATTACCTAAATTACCTAGCCGCTGTCTGGATTTTCAGCTGATGGTGTGCATCAGACTTTCTTCATTTTGAAGGTGATTATAAAACCACCATTCTTTCGGGTGTGTCTGTTACATGCATCGCTCCATGGTGACATTTAACTTCTACATCATACTGTGCTGCCACTCAAGATCTATCTCAGATGAAATTATTCCTTTCTTTTTAATTAAGTTCATTTTTGGAATGATAGAGATGGCCTGTCTACAAGCTGATAGGAAAAAACTGGTTTGACAGTATGGCCTCAGGTGTGGTTGTAGAGCTGCTTTTTTTTTTTTTTTTAAACTCAATGTACAGAGTGCAGCAGAAACTCAAAGAAGTCTGTGCTGAAGCTGAGACCATTCTCTCTTCAATTCTTATGTTTAAGATTTCTAGTTAAGTCTTGAACCTCTTTCTGTTGAAAATGTAGTTCCACTCTATTATTTTAAATGGTGTGAAATTAAATTCTGTAAAGAGGAGGCGGTGTGGGACCTCAGCTGGACAGCAAGGCTCTTGAGGGAACAGCAGCATTGTAGCTGCAGGGATCCACCCATAGGATCTTTGGGAAATCTTGGCTGAAACACTTACCACCTTGGATCTTTCATTTCAGTGCTATAGAAATATTGAAATCTAGTGTTGTACACAGTATCCTTTTAAAAAGGTTTTTACCTGTAATGAAGTCTTCTGTCAATGTTCCTACCAGTCTGCTGTATATTTTACAATGAGTAGATCCAAAAACAACAGAAGAATTAAATTTATTTTACTTGCTAGCCTCTCTCTGATGTTAAAAACAAAGTGATATGAGTCCTCTCATTTCATCACTCCGTTTCTTAGACCAATAATACTTTGCTTACTGGTACTATTGAAACTATTATTTTGTTAAAAATTAATGTTGTGCAGGAAATGAAATAAAATGTATTTTAGGTTTTCTTCTTTATTTGTTCATTTTTATTGCTTTACTTTTCAGTACTTTTTTTTTTCATTTTCAATAAAGTTTTAATTAAAAATAACTCAACTGTTTTAAACAGTCCTGTAGCAGATGACCTATTTCTGATTTAATTTGTAAGCCCACAAATCCTTGTGCAATAAAGTGAAATCTGGATTCAGTTTTACAAAATGATATCTTAAATGCAGCATAACATAACTTGGAAAAGGTCACAGTTCATTATAAATTATCAATCATTGCGTATGATAATTAATTGATGTTCTCATCTGAAACTTTGAAGATGCTGTAAACCTGGCCACAGTCTTATGAAGACTTATTTTTCAGTTATTATATGAATTATTTTTTGTCTCCTTTTCAGTTCAGATGATAATCCATAGTGTTGAAACAATACATCATAGAAAGAGTAATTTCTTACTGCTTTTGTTCATCTGTATTCAAGAAAGTGTCCATAGCACAAGGGCATGGAGAGTGTATAAATGAGTGACGGAATGATTTCCTGAATCACACTAATATTACTGAGGGAATGGAGCTCACAAAAAATCTTCCATACATGCGTAGGAGAGCAGACAAACCTCTGTCTTGTGGCATTTAACTTCCTGATTTAATAAGCCAGAAGGTACTAAATCCTTCATGGATCTAGTGTAATCTTTTGAGTAGCTGCTTATTTTCAGTGCATCCAACACAGAGAGTTCGGGTTTGCTAATCTGATGGGAATTGCAGTAAGTGACTTTTTCTCTTCTGCTAGCTGTGGTGACCTCTCTCTGCTAGTTCAGAGAATACAGATAAGCAAGTCTGAATCTCTCTTGGGCTTGAAACTAATCCCAACCTCCTACCTCATGCCCAAAGGCAATACGCATTTTTAGTGTTGAATGTCGATTGGACATGGAAAGCTAGTGAGCGGATGATCCTGTGCTTTCCTTTAAGAAGGATGGCATCTCTTCCCTTTTTTCTTTTCCTTTTCCCTTTCCCTTTTCCCCTTCCCTTTCTCCTTTCTTTTTAGATATTCAATGCTATTTGCATTTGCGTTTTCCTTTTTGTTTGTCAAATCTTTAATACTGACATCTTCTATCCAAAGGAATAGCTTCTATTTTGCTAGTCTGATAATCACAGTTTGGAAACTGTGTATAAAACTTTTGTCAGTATTCCTCTGACACAGCACAGTTTTGTATGATTGACATCATCATGATTCTGATGAAAAAAAGTTGGTAGTTTATTTGACTTAGAATGCATAAATGTTATTCCTCTGAGATTCTGTATCATGAACGTTACTCACAAGAAATAAATACATTCCCTTTAGGGAATAATGGGTGAGCTTTGTTTCCCTTGCTTCCAGTCCTTACGCTCTGTGACTTCCTCTCACCAGTACTGAGAGTGCAAGGTTATAATTGACTGTATCCCTCATGATCTGAAGAGCTCTAATATTACAAACACAGTTCTCTCATTTCATCAGCCAATGATGACATGCTGTCTTGCTGCTAGATTTGGATTTTTAGTGGCCCAGTGTGATTTTGTCAGGTTTTTAGTCACTGAAGGCTTTTCCTTCCTCCCTTCTTCCCTTCTTCCCTTCCTCCCTTCCTCCCTTTCCTTTTCTATTTTAATTTTAATAGTGTAAGTAACCAGGCTTCAAGGCAAACTATGACATTTTGTCTGGTCTTGGGATGCAACAGAAAGTTGGTATGAATAAATCCCATCTGTCTGTCATGTTGAAGTATCTGTTTCATGTGTATTTCTGATGTTCTTTGTCATTACAAGTTTTCTGTATTTTTTAATTATTAAGTCATAAAAGTATCCTGCTAGAAAAATGTCTGGCTTTTTTTTTTTACTCAGCTGCTATCTTATTTTCTCATGGTCACTCCAGTTGCAGGGCTGTGCTGAACAGGAGGGTAGTCTCTTCCATTGCCTCATGTTGCGCTGCACTGCTGATCTGAATCCGAAGAAAAGATTTATGTCAGATAGGCTGCTAACAATTCTGTTAACCCAGAATGATCTTAAAGCCATTCAGAACGAAAGTCAGGCTTGAATTCTGCCATGAAATTAAACGTTGGTACTAGGCTTTATAAATTCTTCTATATTTAAACTGACAGATGCAAGAGAAAAATAATTTAGGGTCTTGGTGTTTTTTTGAGGCTTCATGTCCTTTTGAAGTATAGCTTGTGTTTCTGTAAAACTTCAAGAACTATTAGTATGTTTCAGTCCAGTGAATGGATAACAGCTGAACTGCCTGCTGAACTGTTTGGCTTCCTCAAGCAGACAATAAAACCCAATGTACTGACATCAGATTTCGTGATATCTCATTATTGACAATGCATGTTGATGCACTATTGATAGTAATTTTCTGTATGGATTTTGAACTCATTCCAAGTCAAGTACTGATTAGCTATTTATGTGAAAGAGACGAAGAATCTCGTTCTCTTATGAGCATACCTCTGTTGACTTCACTTGCAGAACTGTTTGTAGTGCACGAATTAGTAAGGATGTGTATCTGTGGAGGTTTGATGTGCTTGTGGAATCCTGCAGACCTGACCCCCTCTGCAGAAACCTGCACCAGGTGAACTGCAACCCTAAGTTGCTGTGGGCATCTGCTCTTGGTATTCCAGTGCTGTCTGCTTCCACTGCTAGCAGCCTTTGCGTGTTTCTACTGAAAAGTTGGGGATCTTATTAGTGTAGTAAAGATGCTAATTCCTTTACTCCGAAGAAGATTATTTTCTTTAGAAAGACTCAGATGTCTGTTTTGAGGTGTTTATTTGTTTTACTTTTAGTCTGATTTATGCCTCAGAATGCATTATCTTAAATTCTGTTTAGCTGTGTCTGTCTCTGGCTATAAGGCTGATATTTCTATTTTATGGAAATCCTGTAATTTCCAACGAATATTGATATTTTTGTTTTGCTGAAGTCAGGCCCTGCAGCCCTAGTAAGGAGCTGAAAATCTTTGGCAACGATGATAATACGATTTCAGTAATCTTCAACATTTGTAAAAATAAGAGCACTTGTGAATTGGTAGATAGGCTAGGACTGTGAGTAAATGAATCTGTAAGGTTATTAGTTTTGAAGTAGTTTCATATTTATTCTGCTATTGAGGTCTCTATAAGATATCATAATGTGGTAGAAATGTAATGGTGATATATGCATCAGATAACTCATTTTAAAGCAAGCCTTTGAGCTACTGCACAAGAAGAATTCTTCTGTGATGTTTCAACCCAATGCAGGTGGTTAAACTCTTATTGCCTTTCCTCATGCATTAGATGAATGTGGCGATATCGAATGTGTAGAAAGGGAAGCATATAAGTAGATAAATATTGTGCATTACTGATGTAATGTGCTTAAATCCCGTAGAATTATTTTCTTTTGAAGTATGTTCTGATGAAATATGAAATTATTCATAATTTTGCCAGCTTAACATATCTTTGAGAATTAGAAATATCCACCGTCATCTGCTATGCTTGCAGATAATCAAGAATGGATAGATCACAACAGATTAGATGAAACATTGAATAATCAAGGTGTATTTAAAAAAGAAATAATAATTAAACTGCAATTGCAAATTAAAATCAAAGCAATGTAATGTCACTGCAAGACAGGTCGTATTTTCCTTCTGCCATCCTTTTAATCCTTCATGTTCCCTTGTAAAAAACAACAACAGAATATAACGCTTAAAAGCATGGGAGGTATCTGTAATTACTTGAGGACAATAAAATAAAGGTAGGCAGGAAAGCACACCTCAGAATGAAAGCTGTCAACAGCTGTGGAGTGGAAGGGGTGACATCAGCAGAGTAGGGGGTTTATTTCTGGGGGTTCACTTGCCACAGAGTCTGCTTGTATGCTCTGGAGTTGCCAGCTGTTAGTCCCTTCTCCATTAATTTATCACTCTCCCATCACACACCTCAAAATACCCTGATGTCAGTACTTGAGCCTTGTCTGAAAAACTGCTGGGAAAGACAAACCCAGTGGTAATTTTTAATAATTCATGACCGGCCACAGTGGAGCTGGACAGTACCCAATTTTGCTGTGCCTGTCTTGCTCACTTGGTCATGCCACAGCAAGATGCTGTCACAGCAGCTTCAACGGCTCTGCCAGCCAGTGATGACAAATAGAGCCCATTGCAGTGTCAGTCCGCATGTCTGAGGATTAATTCACAGAAGCACAGCCAACTCCTCTGCGTCGGCTAGTCCACTCTGCTCTGATTAAATGAATGCACAAGGAGGGCTGGTTGACTACAGTGTCTGCTCAGTTAAAAACAGTTGTGAATTCAAAGTCTTCTTGCTCCTGCTTGGTGCTTTACACTGTTGAAGATTTTTGCACGTACTATCAAAATGGCCAAGAAGACACTGTATGCATATAAAGTAATTGTAGCTTACACACTTGCTAATAAAATTTCAGGATTGAAACACTCACATGAATTTGTTAGTTGGTTTGAGTTCATGGGATAGAGGTGACATTTGGATGTATGCTGAGTGTGCCAGGATAAATAAGTTTAGTTGAAAAAGACAAACTGCATCCATTCTATGGATGGCCTCAGAACTTCTGAAGGATGCCAGCAGACACTGCTGAGTTGAGCAGTGCAGAAGCAACGGTGAGGTTAAAGCATTTTTGTCAGCTCATACTGGTGAATTTCATTTAAGATCAAATTACTAAATAAATTCGAACACAGCATTGCTTGCTGGTTGATGGGAGGGATTGTCCTGCCATATTCTGCACTTGGTGTGGCCTCACCTTAAGCACTGCATGAAATTTTGTGCATCTTAACATAAGAAGGACATCAAACTGTTAGTGAGCATCTGAAGGAAGGCTACGAAGATTGAGAAGGGTCAGGATGGCATGAGGAGTAGCTGAGATCCCTTGGTCTGCTCAGCCCAGAGCAGACTAGGTTGATGGGAGGCCTCATAGTGATCTGCAGCTCCTCGCAGGAAATGGAGGTCAGCACCAAATTCTGCTCTCTAGTGTCAGCAACAGGACCCCAGGGAACAGTATGGAGTTGTGTCAGGGGAGGATCATGTAGGGTATTAGGAAAAGGTTGTTCATCAGAGGTGGTGGATATGGTTCCAAGCCTAATGGCGTTCAGGAAGCACTTGGACAACATCCTCAGATATGGGGTTTGGGTGGTCCTCAGTGAAGCCAGAAGCTGGACTCAGTGATCCTTGTGTGTTCCTTTCAACATCCTTCATTATGTTCTATGAAATACTTAAACTCCAAAGTTTCCTATTGCTCAGTGGCAGAGAACTTGCAAAGGTTTCTGAGCTTTTCAAGTTGTCTGCTGCCTCACATCAGATAGTTCCTCTCACAAGCTTACCTCAAGATAAACTTATTTTAACTGACTACCATTTTTCTGTGAAACTCTTGCAGATCAGACTGGTCATCAGAACAGCCTAGAATCAAGTGGGTGGTTAAACATGTTGTAACATCCCTTCTTTCACTTGGCCTTTCTAACTGGTTTGCCAAGAAGGCATCTTTTCTTTGAAGAAGGACTTGGTCAGTGAAGTTTATGGAGTGACTTGAAATTTCCTGGGCTTTCATGGTGTTTGTGTGCTAGATATTATAGAAGAATGAGTATCTGAAATATAATTCTATTGATGTAGATTTTGTCATGGCACATACGGATTTAGTGTATATATACAACACTCATAAATTTTATATCATAAGATATTGTTGGAATATTTTGTCATAATTCAGATCTTTTCTCTCATTTTGCTTTGCAGAAATGCATTAGATTTAATCCAGAAGCTTCAGTTTGGGTCGCAAAGCAACGAATTTTGTGCACTTTGAATCAGAGTTTGAAAGATGTCCTGAATTATGGACTGTTCCAGCCAGCAAGCAATGGTAGAGATGGAAAGTTCTTGGATGAGGAACGACTTCTCAGGGAATATCCACAGCCGGTGAATAAAGGAGTTCCTTCCCTAGAGGTATTTTTAGATGAAAAATCTGAAATAATGTTGTATTGCTCTGATAGAGATTATACTGTAAACTATATTTGAGGTTTCTGTGTGCACCTGAATTGCATCTGGGAAACAACAATCATCAAGTATGAACTTGAACTCTTTCTCTCAGAAGTGCTAGTGTTTGCTTGCTGGTGCAGTTGTCCTACATGTCACCCTCAAAAGTCTGCAAAGAATTAGACCCTTGGGGAGATTTGATCTGGGGACTTTTGTCTCCTGAGGACATAGGAGATGTGTTTTAGGAGAGTAGTCTGTGATTTAAGAAAGAACTGTAAGTTTCCGGATTAAGATTTTGGGTATATGATTATGTTTACTCAAGTAGGGTAACAGTTGCTTAATAATAGCCATTTGTTTCCTGCCAAAGGAGGGTCTTTCTATCAGGAAGCTAGGCACAAAACTAGCATTTAATTAATGTTAGTATTGATTGTATGATGGTACATCATCCAGTAATAATCTGTAGTTAATAAACTTTCCCCAATATGACACAAATGAAAGAAAAAAGAATCAGGGTCCAGAGAGAGTTTTGAGTCCTGTATTGTCCAGCAGTTTATTTTCTGAAAGTCGATCTTTGATGTTCATATTATAGCCATAAGCAAAATAAATAACTGCATTATTTTCTCTGCCATGTTTGTTCCAGAGTTTTGTTTAATAAGCGTTCAGTTGGTAAAATTATTCTCACAGCAGCTAAAGGTTTGCAATGCGTGGGTTAAAAGTGGGCTTTTATAGAATCTGGTATTAAAGCTTCCTACAGTGTAGTCTTGTTGTCCAGCAAATGTGCTGCATTCTTTGAACTGGGTATATTATGATGAGATAATAACAAATTATAACTATGTAAACCCCATGATTCTGGCCACAGATGTTTCCATGCTAGCCGAAGGGTAGCAAGCTGCACACAGAGACTGAATTTCAGACAAAAGAGACAATCCTGTGAACCTCACCCACAGGACCAGTCCCATTAAGCATCAGGAGAACTGTTCCCATGTTCTGCCCATGTTGATTTTACAGGAGTTGTTTCTAAAGATTTAAATTTTAGAAGTGCTAAGCTGATATTTTCAAATATGTTTTTTGTTTGTTTGTTTGTTTAACATGACTCTTTAGGCCTTCTTTCTGCCTGAGACCATAAATAAAAGTGCTGAGATGCCCTTAGGAGTAAGCTCCTTTCACTGTAATTCTTGCTCATTTATGTGGATTCTGGAGACTGTTCTCATTTCCCATATAATTCCACTCATCTCGGTACATTTATACAGGATAGACATTTTGCTTACATGAACTGTACAACTATAATAACTCATCTTTTATGCATAGGGATGATTGTAGGTGAATATTCAAAATAGTAAGTCTTTTTAATGAATATTACTTAAATCTACATACTTTGGATAATCCTTTCTGGTAAAGTCAGAAATGTTTTTATTGCTAGTTTTTAAGCAAAATATGACATTTTAAATTTTTGTATATTTGTTTATTGTTTCTTCCTCTCAGTTTCGATACAAGAAAAGAGTGTACAAGCAGTTCAATCTTGATGAAAAACAGCTGGCCAAACTTCATACAAAGGTATGCCCAGTTTACTGGGGAAGTTAGTAAATGCCTACTCAGAAAACTAATGTGTCTGAGAAACTGGAAATAAGAAGTTTATTGCCACCTGAGTGAATTGCAGAACAACAAGCAACATGTGTTTCCCACAAAGACAGGCATGTGAATTGTGATCTGTGAAATTTGCTCATAGAAAAATACCTGTGTTTGACTCTTACACAGGTGTACAAATAATATCTAATGAACATTTCTACACAAATACAGTGTGTTTTTAGCATGCTGCAAAAATGTGATCTATGTCTTCAGACTCATCTGCTCGTCCGAACAATAATGATTACCTTACCAATCTAATTTGTTACTAAATTAATATTTCATTCATTTTTTGTTAAAACTATCAACAACTGAATCTTACTGTATTTGATTCCTGAACTTTACAAACTGTAGGATGTATTATCATGGTAAAAGTTTGGTTCTTCAAGAGTGTGAATTAGTTCAGTGATGACAATGTACATATAGTGACAGAATATTTCACTTTAAGTCAAAATTTTCCTTTCCAATTAGATGATGATTCATTTGTCACTCTTTATTTCAGGCTAACTTGAGAAAATTTATGGATCATGTCCATCATCTCTCAGTGGAAAAAATCACAAAAATGTTGGACCGAGGACTGGACCCCAACTATCATGACCTAGAAAGTGGAGGTCAGAACAATAAAAGTAGCAGCATAACATTGGGTTTGCTCAGCCTAAACTGATTAACAGGTTAAATCTCATGCATTCTATCTGTTGCCTTTACATCTTTAGCCTAAAGGTATCTTTATGGTTTTGCTGGCCAAGGGAGGCAAATGATTATTCATGATTTTTGATCAGTACTTTTAACTTAGTATTTTATAAGATTTTAAAGCAAATGCTCTTTATTTTATAAATCTGATCATTTCTTTTTCATGTATATACTACTCTCTTCTTCAGAAACACCACTAACTTTGGCAGTTCAACTTGACAATACAGTAGAAGTGATAAAAGCTCTGAAAAATGGAGGAGCACATTTAGACTTCAGAGCCAGAGATGGAATGACAGCTCTGCACAAAGCAGCCAGAGCCAAAAACCAAGTAACCCTCAAGGTAGATGCTTTCAGTAGCAAATTATACATTACTTTATGCAGAAAAATATATAAAGGAGAATGCTTTCATCCTCAATGGATCCATTAAGTTGTGTTTGTTCTGGTGCATTATAGTCTTTCAAATCTTATGATTTGCTTTCAATAAAGGGTCTTTTTACTTTCAATTCTTGATAGGGAAAAAAAGTAGTGAAATGTAAACTTATTACTGATTGATAGATTGGGACAGATCTGCTTGAGGAAATAGTGATAGTGTTATTACTGCTTATCTCTTGGGAAGCAACTGCCAGTAAAATGGATTATGCATTGTATCTTTACAGTCTTTCCTGTTTTCTTTCATATTTTAACAAGTATTCTTAAATCACCTTGATAAACTAGATTCAATCTTATGTTTACGGCATTTGCTTATTTCCTCTTGACAGATATTCAAATTATTTAGTATATTTGATAATGTATTCTGTAAATGAAGAAGTAAATGTTTTTCAAAGGTGATGAAGCATTTACAGAATGTGAGTTCTGAAATTTGTGTAATATGGAAACTGTACATTGTCATTCATCCTTACGTTGTTATCCCTGTAAATTCCTTTAGGTTCTACTTCTTTTGAAGTCATTCCTTGCTTAACTTACTCTTTGTCACAGCCTATTATTTCAGCTTTTAAATAAATGAGCTATAAGTAGACATAACAAATATCACCTTCTGATTTCTTTTTCAGGGAGAAAAGCCCCTTTTCACTCGTAAGTCCCTTCAAAAAGCAGTTTTCACTGTTTCTGTTTGTTTTCAGACTCTTTTAGAGCTGGGAGCATCTCCTAACTACAAAGACAGCTGTGGCCTGACACCGCTGTACCACACTGCTGTTGTGGGGGGGGATCCTTACTGCTGTGAACTTCTTCTTCATGAACATGCTACAGTTAGCTGCAAAGATGAAAACGGATGGCAAGAAATTCATCAGGTAGGGAAGATTAGTTTTTGTTTAGAATTCAAATTGTACTGGGAAATGTAATCTTCCTGTACATTCTATGTGCAGAAACATACTGTATACATTCTGTGTCTAAATGAATACCATTTCTATACATTCAGCCCTTGCACATTCAGGTATGGAATTATTGATTATTGCTTTGCATCCTGCTTTTGCAAACGCTTACTGTAGATTTTGTTGCAGAAATTGCGCTGGCTGCTAATGATATTTATCCAAAGGATACTTGGATATGTGAGTGTCTTGGAGACATTCTAGTTAAAATAAAGAAAGAAAAGGAAAGAAAGAAGTAAATCCATCTTTTGTTAGCAACTAAATGATAATTTCCCTGGTAAAACTTCTTGTCTGTTAAACATACTTTCTTCTTTGTCTTTGAACTTTACAGGGAAGATTTGGATTCAGGATTCTGCTGCTAGAATCATGTAGTATGTTGGATTGTAGGTAGTTAAATCCTCACAAACTCATAATCTGAGTTCAGTTTTAATCCCTTGCATATATGGAAACTGAGATTCTAATTGTTTTTCTTCTGCTGTTTGTACATGGTGTTCTTTGTCTTTTCTTATAACTTCCCTGGTGGATAAAAATGGGAATATGCAGTATGAAAACAAACAAAGAAAGAAAAACCCCCCCAAAACTTTTTGCATTCCTACTTAGGTTATCTAGGCTCAGTTTCTCTTCTATACAAAGTTTATTTAGTACACAGCTATGTTTCTTCTTTTCTTTGAAAGAAATGGAAGATGGTTTTGTTACCTGGTTTGGGGAAAGAATCTGAAAACAAGTTTTCATTTAATGTGTATGTGTGCTTAAATCTGGATTGTTTGGATCCATCTCTAGTAAGAAGTAAAAAGAATTAATGCACTGTCATAATTTCTGAGCCTCTGAAGGAAATGGATTGTATAGATTGAAGTATGTAGGTTGCTCCGAAAGTAAAGCCTCCTATTTGTTTCCATGGAAACTACAGCAGTAACAGAGAGAACAAAACCACTATTTGATAGAGCAAATTCCCATCTGCAAAACACTTCTTTTTCAATTCAGTAATCATGAATTCATGCAGATGAGCTGACCATGATACTCTTCGTTTCATGATGTGACTATTGTGCATAACCATCCAGAATGTGGCTTATCTTTCATGACACAGTCACCACTGCTGAAACACACTGCTCACCACCTCACTGTGTTCACATACGCTGGTCTCCCCATAAGCATTCAGCAAGCATCGATGAACATCAATGGTTGCCATTGTTTCCACATGGAGGAATTCCAACTGCACACGTTTGCTTCTTATGCATGTCCATGTTGGATGCCTATTTCTAACACTGCCCCTGTGCTGCCATCTGTTGCACAGTAACAAAATGGAATAGAATATTGGTGGGAAGGTTCAACCTCTAATGTCCCACTACCAGCATCTGCTTCTGATGCTGTCGGCCAACATCATAATGAAATAGAAGGCATTACTTATGGAGCAGCCATTCTCCTAGCATTTGTCAGTGAATTAAGGAAGACAGTGACATGATACAATCACATATATTGTCTGCATGAAGAAGGCAAGGTTATTTTGCATGGCAAAGAAATACTTTTTAGGGAGTGTGTTTTTAATTTTGTTAGAAAATCTGCAGAAAATAAGCCTCCAAGCTGCCCTTGTAGTAATGGCAAAAAGGTAAAGTGTTCTGCTGTGCAGTAATAGGAGTAAACTAAATATCCTCTTGATATACTCATCCCTTTCTGTTGACTATAACAGGGAGCCCTCATTAACAGTTTGGACAGCTCACCTAACGTGCATCCCCCTGACAAGGGAAATGCATTTCCCTTGTATTTGTTGTCTTCCAGAGCTCCCAAAAAGTGGAGAAAACATTTCTGTCAGATTGGCAAAGAAAGGAAGAAGGTCAAATTCTGCTCTAGCAAGGAAGCAAGGCGAGAGAAGGGCCTGGCTTTAGTCCAGCTTGTTGTATTAAGAATAGAAAGTTGGACTCCTGCACATTCGTATCCAGATGTTGACTGACTTTTAGAAGCTGGAGAGAGCTGATAGCTAAATATGGCTCATTATACATTTGGTATAATATCCAGTCAGAAACACAGCTTTGATTTGGTTCTGTTTATCCCTTTTGCACAGTTTCAGTTGCTTGCTTTCTGTTGCTCAACCTTAAACCTTTCTGTTCTAACATCAGCTGACACGATTTTGGCAAATAATGTGTAAATAATTAAACTAATAAAATGCTGGGGAATTTTCTTTCTATATGATGAAATTTGAAAATTGAAGATGGTGTGGTAGTAAATGTATTAGCCTGGGATTTGGGAAATCCAGTTCACTCCCAGATGTGTCACATTTAATCTTATGTTCAGCAGTACACTTAATTCTTCTGATTCGAATTGCAAGATGTGCAGGTGATATAATCCCCAGTGAAGTCAGTGTAATTAGGTACCTACAGCAGAGTGTTGTATATAAGCATCTCTCAGTTTAGATTCTGTGTTATTGTATAGGAAAAATACTAATTTGAGACTGTTAAGGTAAAAATATTACGAACATTAAGATGCTCAGTTGGTGCACTATAGAGAAGAAGGGAGGCAAGAACTTGAGACTAATGAATGAAATGAATGTGATTTTTCTCAAACTTCTTTGCTGATCAGGGAAGTTTAAAATTTTAGTGGAGTCTCTTTCTTTATCAGTTTATTTCCAACTATTTAAGGTCTAATGTTTTATCTCTGTGACTGAAAGTAACATTTGACAGTGTTAGAAGTTAAGTGGCAAAACACTTGAAAGGAATGCTCTTTAGGATCTTGTGTACACGGTGCATCTGCTGACATCACAGAATCTGTTTTTTTGAACTACTTTGACCGCATTCTTACAAACCTTAAAAGCAGAATTTGAAAATCTGATCGCCTTTAGTGCCATCTAGTGGACAACGTACCAAATATTTATGGGACAAAAATCTATTTTCAGTCAACCATCAGACATGATGAACATAATAAGAATATTGGTTCCGTTTATGTATCCTATCTAAGAATATATTATAAAAATATCAACATTTGTATTTTACTGATAAGTTACTGATAAGGATATGCTTAAACTTTTGCACAGATTTGGTGTACCTGAAATGCACATAACTCAGTTTTCAGACGTATATAGATCTGAGTCTTGTCATGCAGTCCAGGGGTGGTTTTGAAAGTTAGGTCCCAAGTAAAGTAGTATCTTCTCTGATAAAAGACACTGACCTGGACTGCTTAACTGATGCAACTAGATTGTATAATAATGGAGACAATACGTGTCTCTTAATAGGCTTGCCGATATGGACATGTCCAACATCTGGAGCACCTTCTCTTCTATGGTGCTGACATGTGTGCACAGAACGCATCGGGAAACACAGCGCTGCACATCTGTGCTCTTTACAACCAGGTGAGCATGCACCCACCTTCCCTGCTTTTGAACAGTGGTCCTAGAAACTAGAAAATACATAATAAAGCACATTCTATTCTATTATCATTTTATTCACTAATTACATATGAAGGCTGCTCATCTATGGTAGCAAGATTATACCTATTCACTGGAAATGCTGTCAACATCATGTATTACTGAACTGTGTTTTTTAGTATCATATCCAAGTATGGACCTATTGCTGTTTTGTTGGAATTTAAATTAAAATTAAATAAGAAATAAGTAGAAAATACTGTAGAGATATATCTCTAGATTGTACAGAAGATATCTCATTCCTTGCTGTTTACAGCTTGTATAGTCATTTGCAAATAAAAGAACCATTTTGATTTGATAACATTCAACATGCTTTACATGTATAGTGAAGAGGGAATGAGTTTTACAACTGTGTTAAAATCCTGCATGTAGAATGTTGCATTAAATTAAAAAAAACACAAGTCATGAGATGTGACTCTAACTAACAAAAAGCTGTTAAAGCATCTGTTTCTTAATTAATTACCATCTTGCCTTTTCTGAAGTCTTATCAAAGCAGATCCCTCAAGTATCTCTAAAATAACCTCGACAGTTTTAAAAATAGGTTTTGGAGAATAATTTGACAATTTTCAAGTCTGCTGGCTTGATGTGTGCATCATAATTGAAATAAATTCATAGACTCCTGTTGTACAAATCTTCCTCAGTAATGCTGATTATTGTTTGAAGTATGCAGCATAACAGTGGGTAATGTGCCGCTATGGGATTGCTTGTTGCTCAGTCTGCAAGCTTTAACAGGCCATTAAGTACCCAGAGCAACTAGGTTAAGGTTAGCATGTTTTCTTCACTTCTATAGTCACTCAAAGGTTCTGCAAGTTAACACTTTTCAAGATTTCTGTCCAGAAAAGTAAAATTCACATTCTCAGCAAAAATTTTACTTGTAAGCTTCACATCAGGAACTTAATACACAACTAACTGTAAGCTCTTCTGCTGAGTATTTTAAAAATATATTTTCAAATTTCATTTATTTTATTTTTCCCAAGTAAGAATTTTGAAGTTTGGGTCATAGTGCACATATAAACTTAAAAACGTGAACTCGTCTTTTTCTCTCATATTTTTTAAAATTTTATATTATTTTAACAACTTATTGCAGTATTTCAATAGCTGTAGCTTTTTACAAGAACACACTTTTAGCAAAGGTTATACGGTTTGAAAATTGGAATTTTTTGTGTACAGATGTATTGTTTTGACCCTGGTGGAAAAAATCATTCTGTGGAACACTTAGCCCTTACTGAAATTTCATCTACAAATCATGGGTATTTTTGAAGCCAGTTAAATTTGGCTCTGAGATTGAAGTTTTACTGCAGTGTAATGATTTCCTTTCCTTAATTAGGAATATGCAGATTTTTTTCTCTAGGTGCTGTGAACCGTAACCTGTATTAATGTTTTCAGTATCCTTTTTTTTCAAAAGTTGTTTTTAACTAATGTGGAAGGAAGGAACTGTGACCTTTTTTTGGCTGAAGAGGACAGGAACAGCAAAATTCTTCTTTCCTTTTGATTCCTGTAGATGGAGTCATTACCCATTGAATTTTTCTCTTCCATCTTTCCCCAGGGAATTTTCTCAGGATTTCAGCAATTCTATTTTCCTAAGTTCGAGCTAAATGCTCATCTGAATACATTCTTGCTTTTTAAAGTTGTTTTTTTGTTTTGTTTTGTTTTGTTTAATATTCACTAATACAGAGCACAGAAAAAAATAGTGAAAAAAAATTTATCTAGGTATTTTCATGTTTAGAGTTACAGCTTAAGTACAGATATCAGTGCAAGCAAATGTGACAATTAATTACACAGTAGAAACACTTGTGATGAGAAAACAAAACTGTTGTGAAATATGACCAGGTATGTATAATATCCTAAGATCGTAGAATCATGGAATGGTTTGGGTTGGAAGCGACCTTTAAGATTGTCTAGTTCTAGTTCCCTGCTCTAGACCAGGTTACCTGGCCTTGAATGCTTCCAGGGAAGGGGCATCCTCAGTCTTGCTGGGCAACCTGTGTCAGTGTCTCACCACCCTCAAAGTAAAGAATTTCTTTGTAATATCTAGTCTTAATCTACCTTCTGTAAAACCATTTCCCCCTGTCCTGTTGCTATGTCCTTCAAAAAAGCCCCAGCTTTCCTGTAGGTCCCCTTCTGGTACTGGAAGGCCACTGTAAGGTTCCCCCGGAGCTTCTCTTTTCCTCTTGAGAGTCCCAGCTCTCTCAGCCTGTCCTCACAGGGGAGGTGCTCCAGCCTTCTGATCATCTTTGTGGCCCTCCTCTGGACCTGCTCCAATAACTCCATGTCCTTCTTGTGTTGGGAACTGAACACAGTACTTCAGGTAGGGTCTCATGAGAGCAGAGTAGAGGGGCAGAATCACCTCCCTCGACCTGCTGGTCACACTTCTCTTGATGCAACCTAGGATACGATTGGCCTTCTGGGCTGCAAGCACACACTGCCAGCTCATGTTGAAACTTTCATCAACCAACACCCCCAAATACTTCTTGTTGGGGCAGCTTTCAAGCCATTCTCTGCCTAACCTGTATACGTGCTTTTGCTTTCCCTGACCCATGTGCAAGCCTGATGAAGATGAACAGTAAAGATGATATACAGGAAATAGTCAGAAAGTGTAGTATTTGAAAAGCAGGCTAGAACCACAGAAGGTTTCTGGCAGATTACAATTGGTCATATTTTACAACAGTGTAGACTAGTGACTTCAGGGTACTATGTATTACTTTAAAAAGCAAAATGTTTTCAAAGGATTTCATTTGCAGATTTCTGCAGTTCAGAAGGATTTAAATCATGCATTTCTCTTTTCTTTACAAGAAAGATCACATTTGGTTTGCTCTATTAACTATAAATAATTTCATAGAGAAGAGAAAGTAAGCCTCAAGACTCATACATTAAATGTTTAACACTTGTAGCAGAAATGCTAAGTTACAATTTGAACCAGTGAATGAATTTCTGGTGATAAGGCAGGGCCAACACAGGGGAGCTCAGGTGTATGCAATGTGCCTGAGCGACTGGAAGGGGTGGAGCCAGGATCCTCCCCTTCCCAGACCTCATTTAAGTGTTGGCAACAGTTCTCAAGGTAAGCAGCTTCTTTCTTCCCCCCTCCCCCCTATTCCTTTGGCTCTTAAATTTGAGCAAATCCTCACTTGCTGTGGCCTTGTTCCTTGGTTCTCTTGCTGTGCTTTCCATTGTGTTACAGCACTGAAATGAGTGAAAACCAAACCAAATTAACAAAAATGCTTCCCCTCCCTCCCCCCTCTCACTTCCCTCCCCAAAAAAAGCAGTAAAACATCTGAAACAAGAAAAATAGGAGGAAACAAGCACAAACCCAACCATCAAACAGAATAAGCAAATGGAATTGGTAAAACTGCTTTGTTTAATTTTTAACAGCAGGGGAGTATGCCCTTTACCACAGGTACCTTACTGTTCCCTTAACAGTACTCTTATCCCTACAAAATAGGCAAAAACTGCATGGGAGCCAATTTCATTGCTAACAAATATGTTTTCTGTAAGATCTAACCTCTTAAGTATGAAATTTTCAAGGTACAATTTAAAAAAAAATTAGTAAGATGTTTACAACTTACATTCCTTTTTTTTTTTTAATATAAATTTGCAAGTTATTTCTACTCTGTGCAATTCAAAGAATGTAAAGCCCTGTCAAAAATACTAAAAATGCTACTTTAGTAACTTCATTTCTTAAACTTGTATGCATATTTGACGTTGCTTATCTAAGAAAATACATACCAAATGTATCTCGTAGAATCAACCTCTCTTCAGGATTGCTATTAAGTAGTTTACTTTTCTATCATTTTCAGGAGAGCTGTGCCAGGGTGCTGCTATTCCGTGGAGCAAACAAGGAGATTAAGAATTACAACAGCCAGTCTCCATTTCAGGTAAAAACCAAACACACACACAGAAAAAAAAACCAACTGAAAATGAATGCCCTTTCTTTCTGCTGCACATCAATGTCTATATTTTCTGTAGACGTTATTCACACAACCACACCAACCCACCCCAACAACAAAGAAAAAACCCCCAACTCTTACTTTTTTGTCATGTGGTTTGTGGATTCTTCATTCTATGGATGTGGTGCCAAAGAACTGGGATATGTTTCAAGGACAGGGTTGAGTTGAGTGCCCTATCAGTTAAAATAGTTGAATTGTCATCTCTGTCTCTGCAAGGAAAGTCTTTCTCTGGATTAGTCAAAATTTGCTAGATGTTTTTTCATTATTTGCTTACATTAAAGTACTTTCAGAAAGCTTAATTAAAAAACTAAATGGAAGAAAATTGTCCGAAAGAGTTGCCAGGTATGTCTGACAACCTTAAGCCCTTATTTCTGAAGCAGCCTTAATTAGTCTGGTTTTCAGTAAAACATTCATAACACAAACTGGCATGTGAGAAATAGAGATGAAAGCTGCAATGTTTTAAGAAAAAGTAACAGAGAAAAATCTATTCTGCAGAAAAGGGTGCTTCTGGAAGACTGATGGTATAGTTGCACTAAATGGAACTGTCTTCTTTTGAAACACGAGGGGACCATTTCTCAAAATCAAGTATTCTTTGAACAGTAAGAAATCCTGACTTACCCTTGCACACTCTGTCTCCCACTGCATTCTGGTCCTTAATTAGATAATCTTGGCTTAGAATAATAATAATAATAATAATTTAAAAAACCCACACACACATGCACACAAGTGCGAGAAAAAAGCCACCCATGAAATAAAACACTTTCTCTCTCATTCTTTGACAAATGAAATTGATGGAATATTTGCTATGTCCATGCAGGTCTCTAACTTAGTTTCCCAATATTATTAATGCCTGTAAATATTAGACTCTTAAAAAATAGCTTGGGCACATAATCCCACATTTGTTTAATTAGTTCTGTAATTTGAAGCTTTTCTGGACATAATTTGTATCTCTCAAGCTTCAGAGTTCTGCCTGCAAATTCCAGCCAGATCATTGTTTTCTCTGGGGACTGTTTTACCCAGACTGGAGAAACAACATATGAATTTAGGGACCATTTTCAGGCTGCTAATACTTTGACTTCTAAATATACACTAAACACGAATTCACGAAGTTGTGGATAATATTTATCACTGCACCTTATATTAGAGAGTGATTTAATTGGATGATTAAAAATGGAACAGAGGGATCTCTAATGTTTCAGTGGGTGAATTCCAGTGTCATTTGTTACTTTGAGAGACTAGATTATTTTATTTCTGTATCTGAGATTCACTTTTCCTTTTGTTTTAGGTGATTATGTAGGGAGGTTGGTTGGAAAGCAAACCAATTTCTGTCTTCCTCTTTCTACTTAATGCTGCAAATCTGTTACTTTTCCTCAGAAGTTATGAAAACATTGAAAAAGACAGAATATTCAATCTTTGTAAATGCTAGTACTGATGATTATAGGGCCTCAAGGAGTGAAGGATGACTAGCTAAAACCAAATAAAATTGGAATAGCAAGTGAGCACAGAGACAGGAGAAATAACCTTGAGAGAAGAGACTAATTGTGGAGGTGCACATGCCCTTAGGGAATAAAATGCTTCTATTTCTTATCATTTAGTGTATGCTAACACTTCTGATATTTGGGCTTCTGTCACACCCTCTCCTAGTATTAACAGAAGGACTGAAAATTAGGTTGGCTTTGTTCTATCATTGTCTTTTTTTGAGCATGTGGATGTGGAAATTGTTTCCATCTTTTTACTTCATTCTGTCTTGTAGGTGTAAGGAATGTAAGAAATGATTTAGTTTTTCCAAATGTAGTGAGTAGAGAAACCCTGGTGGCAGCATTGTAATAAAGCAGCATTAGAATTAATTCTTTGCCATCTGTCTGATGCTGACCCAGTCAATCAGACACCACAAGTGGAGCTGTTATAAAATTATGCAGAATTCCCTTGAGTTAATAGGATTTTGCATACTAAAATTGTTTACTCATGTAATCAGTAGCAAGGAACGTTGAAGAATCTCATATGTACATAATGAGAACACTTGTAGCTGCACCTTCTATTCCTTTGAGTAACGTCCATTATGTTGTTTTCTGAGAAAAGTCTAAAAGGATTCCTTTAAATTGCTGCTTACAAAATTGATTGCATGAAAATGGATCCTTCCTGTAAATACAAAGTATCCATATATCAATACATGTCTATTTTGCATTCAAGGCCTGCCCAAAAATGTATTTATTTTGGTGAAAATGAGGAGCACCCTTTGACTTTTGTATCTTGCATTTGTGGCAGATGAATGTCCTATAATTTTACCGCACATTTAAAAAAATATAAATAAAAAATGGAGCAAGGAAATGTTCACGTATTTCCAAACCATGATGATGCTTAAAATAAGCATGGGTTTACAAGATCATAAGAAAAAAAGCCAATCCCAGTTAAACTGTGTACCATTAGATTCAGGTATCCCATACTGAGTTCCTTGTAGAGTTCTCTGCCTGAGATCTGGCTGTTTTTTTTACCATTTCACTGTCTAAAAGAATTAGTGTTGGAATGATATTGCCAGGTATCAAAGCCTGGAAAACCTTGTGTATGTTTCCTAATTGAATGCATAAGTGTTAATTAGCTACTTTCAAAGAAGTCTTCTTCATCCTGACTGATTGCTCAGATCTATTTAGTAATCAGTACTGAATACAGTTCGTGTCATCCAGAGTTCAAAGTCTGCTTTTGACTGTCAACTGCAGAACCTTTTGCTGATAGGATGCACTCTGCAATAAGAGTATGGGGCAGAAGAAATTCCACTGAGTTTTTTCCGAATAAGCAATAATGCTGACATAAACTATTATATCATCTCTATTTGTGTTCCAAGTAGGTTAGGACAATTCTTGTATCATTGTCCTCAGCATAGGCTTGAGAACCTTTTGCATATTATGTGTTTTGATTAAAAGTGGATAAACAGTTACAGTTAAGATGAAACCTGTGCCACATCATTATGTGACATTGTTAGTTCTGTTGGTTAATCAGTTGCTTACCCATCATGTCTTGACTGAGTAATTTACGTACCATATATGGTAATTTTTCTGTGCTAACAGAAGGGATAAATCTATCAGCATTACAGAACTGGAAGTGCTAGCTAATAATATGCTGTTATGTATGTATGAGCGGGTTTGTGCTTTCATTCATAGCACTGAACTTGAATGTGCTCTCAACCATGACTGCTGTAAGTACTACTGATGCCTCCATAGCCATTTGTAGCTTCTGACAGAGTTTGCCAAACATGTTTGCCACCATCATATAGTGGATTGAGTTACAGCTTTCATAAATGAAATGGTGAACTTCTGTTCCAGATGTAGGTTGGCTTTCAAGTTTCCAGTGGTTTTAGGTGTTTTTTTTTCCTGTTAAAGTTTCTTTTTTATTACTAAAAATAACAACAGAATCTTGTTTTTTGACCTCCTGGTAGCTGCAAAGAGATGTACTGAAAAAATTCCTAGATGTTCTTTCGAAAAATCCATTATATCTTACCAACATCCATAGATTAATGTAAAATTTCTTACCTGACGATCATTATTCCAGTAACTCAGAAATATCACTTATCCAGTGTTTACAAGCCATTGATATTGTATTGTGCAAGTTCAAAAGGACATACACGTTGTTTATCATTTTTCTTTTACTTAGCATAAGTCCTGTGTGAATAATTCATATGTTTTTTTTTTTCATACTGTCTATAAACACTTCCAAGCTTAGAGCTAATAGAACTAATGACCAGTGCATTTAAAGCATATGTTTTCAAATATGCTGAGGAATTTGCATTTAGTGACGTTCAGGGCTGTATCTAAGGGTGATTTCACTCTCAGAAGTACCTTGTTGTTGACCACTGCTGTCTCAAGTCAACACGGTCTTTTAATGTGCAGATATATAGACAGCACGAAGAACAACCATCTTCCGGTGCAGTTCCACTGCAGGTAGAATTGTTCCTTTCAATGTCTTGGCTGTGCATCCATTTTCAATTGCTCATATTTTTGCCAGATTTTAATCATTTGAAAAGAAATTTTCTATGCCTGGTTCATCAGGCTGCATTGTTCAGAAAAACAAAATGATTCAGCTGTTTCTGAGTATGGGTGAAGGAAAACGTGTTGTTTTTCTCATACTGGAAAACTCTGTTGACCCCCCTCTCCTTGTCCCATCTCCCCTACGGTGTGATGTTGTTTTGTTTTCTTTAATTGCCCTACATGCTGTTAGTGATCTCTTATTAGTAACACAACAGTGTAAAATGGTTTGCAGCCTGACTCAAATTCAGGGGCTCCAAAACTAGTTGCATATTTGGAAGCTTGCTAGGGGGATACAGATGTGCAGAATAGGGCACTGGTAAGTAAGAATTGCATTTGAGAACTTGCAAGTGGGTGGAAAAGTTCGGGACTGGCTGAGTCTGAGCCTGAGAGGCAGTGAAAGTTCAGTAAGGGCAAGATAGATAAGGGTCTTAGGAAGACTTCTATCAAAAGTGTCAGAAGAAAAAATAAAAATCAGTTCAGGGAAAATGGGGACTGACTATATGGAAAAGGGGGTCTGAGCTGGAAAGCCAGGGAGGGTAGGGATTTCTCAAGGTGGAAGTACGTATGCTAGCAATCAGTCAGAAAAAAATTCATCTGTTATCCAACATATTGCCATAATGACTTCCCAAAGCTCAGTTTTAATTTAGTTTATTTTGCAGAATCTCTTTCTGGTGGAATTTCTAGGCAAAGGACAAAAGGTTGTTTCCAGGTATTTTTGTCTCTGACTTATTTTTGAAGGGTAAAACTGATAAAGCAAACTTTAAAACTGAAAATCACTGTCCAGTGCCTGAAGAAGTCATTTTTATAAATACAAAGAAACGTTAGAATATGTAACTGTTGTGTTACTGGAATGTAGCAACTAGAAAAGGACTTCTTTTTTGCCAAGTTTTTATTTTTTATATTTGCATC